GCGGCCCCGAAGCTCCCCGGCCCCGAGGCGCCCACGCCCCCTGAGGAAGCCCCGCCCCCTGGGTCTCGCTGCGGCCGGGGATTGGCTGGGGCTGCCGAGGGAACCCGCGAAGCCCCGCCCCGTCCCCTGGCGCCCCCTGCGGGCCCCGCGGCGCCTGCGCAGCGGCGGCGGGGCGGCCCCGGCCGTTGTTGTGGAGGGGCCGGTCAAGATGGCGGCCGGGCAGGGGGGCGGCGGCGGCAACAACGGGACCGGGAGCGCGACGGGCACCGGGACGGCGCCCGGGAACGGAACGGCGGGCCTCGGGATCCCCGGGCACCTCACTCTCTCCTTCTCGTCCGGGCCGCACTGGGGCGCGGCCGCTCTGCCGCAGTCGCACACGGTTCGCAGCCTGGAACGGGCCCTGGAGGAGGCGGGCAGCTCAGGCATCCTCTGCCTGAGCGGGAGGAAGCTGCGCGATTTCCCCGGCAGCGGCTGCGATCTGAGCGACACCACGCAAGCTGGTGAGGGGGATCCGTCAGTGGCGGGGCGGGGGCTGCGGGCGTCCTTCGGGGCCGCTGCGGGCCCGGSGCTGAGGGCGGGGGACGCGTGCCCGCTGTGGCGGCCGCTGGGGCCGGGCGGTGGCGGGGCCGTGGTGCGGGGATGCCACGGAGCGGTCCCCGCGGTGGCAGGGGAGGACTGCAGGGCAGCCAAAGAGTGACACGGAAGCTGCCGCTCTGGGTGAGGAGCGGGGGCCCCGCTGTGTGAGGGCAGCGGGGGCAGTGCAGAGGCTCCGCTTTGGGGGGCTCTCCCTGCAGGCAGCGGGACGGAGGATCTGTGGGTGCAGCGTTGGGGGTGCCCCGCTGGGCGCACCGGGGGCCGGTTCTGCCGAGTGAGTCCGGAGCGGTGGGGGCTGTGAGCGGAGCGGGGTTCCCGGAGGTGCCTGGGCAGGTGGGCGGCGAGTTGCTCTGTGWGTGCTAAAGGCACAGGCGTGTGAGCATGGAAAGGCACAGGGCTGTGTGTGTTTGTGTGTGCGAGGGACCAGGGCTGTGCGGGCAGAGCGGCTCCTTGCACCGCTCAGCCGTGTGTCCGAACTCACCGCGGTGCTCGCTGTGTTCCGGGGGAGGCTGGAWTTCGTTGTGTTTGGTGTGTGTGTTTGCTGGGAGCGGAGCTGGCGCTCTCGCTGTGCCCGGGCTGCCGTGGAGCGGGGCTGTGCGGGGAGGAGAAGGCTCCGTGAGCGGCGAGGGGAAGATGCTGCGGTCTGTGTGCGTGCAGGGGAGGGGGCTGCCTCAGGGGACCGGGCGTTTGTCCCCTGTGTCACTCTGTGCCTTAAGGACAGGGACATGCATTTGGTGTGCYGGGAGCAGGGTGTGCAGGGTGAGGGAGCGCTTGAGTTTGTGCTCGGGGTTATGAGAGCTCCGTGTTGTGGTTGGGTTGTACCTTCAAGGGTGTTGGATCACTCGCAGAAAGCTGTATCGCCTGGGGTATCGCGGTCCCGGCTCAGCAGGAAGATGGTTCCAAGTGCGGGTGCGAGGGATGTGTGAACATCCAGCAGTGACTGTGGAGAGCTTGTTGTGTTCACTGTGCTGGTAAATGCTTGGATATCATGAGTGTGGGCCTGGATTTACCCAGGCTTTTAGGTGAAGTAAACATGGAGGCATTTTTCAGTACGGTTCCTAGAAAACAAAGCTACATTTCCCAAGGAGGTTCTCTCGTATTGTGGCTCATCCCCGGTGCACTTGTGGGTTTATTTGCTGCTGGGGTAGTTGCTGAAAATGGATAATTTGGAATAATATACTAGACGAAAATATTACTGAGAGGCCCAGGATCTTTTGTTCACAAATAGTGGCTTTCTGAAATGTTGTATAAGTGAATTAATGCTGTGGGGTTTTTTGTTTGGTTTTGGGGCTTTTCTTTCCCCATGGGTTATGAACAGCTGGCATATTTTTTTGGAATAGAAGACTGTCCATTTTGGTACCTGCAAATAGARAGAGGTTTCATGAAGTAATTGGAAGCTGGAGTTTTCCTTGCAGTAGCATAAAAATGTATTTAGCAATGTAGTCAGTCACTGCTTTGTGTAGGTATTCAATAACCAAAGCATTTAGAGAGAAGCATTGTAGATATATAGGCAATTTATTATTAAAGACTTTCTGTATCCTGAAATTGGTGCATCAAGGATCTGTACTTTTTGTTTGCTTCTAATCATTGCTGTTTGTATTTTGGTAGGGTTTTTTATGCATTTATTTAGAATGTCAACATTTGAGTCAGAGCTGTCTGCAGTGATCTTGTCTCTCTGTCTTAGGATGTAGTAGAGTCCAGTCATTCCCATTAGGATTGTATTGTTATTGTGAATGGTGGTGTGAAAATGTTATAAGGGCTATCTCTGACAGAAATATCTTTATTGCTTGCTGCGCTAAAATCYTGTACTGAAATAGCTAATCTGAGTCTATGTGAGTGCTGTCTTGGAATAATCCTGATTTGATGTAGTCCTGGTTTATGAATGAATCCAGTGAAATACAAATTTTAGACATCTTTCAAAAGATGTTTGTAAACAAAAGATCTGTAGTCTCTATTTTGACTTGATGTGTAGAAATTTTTGTCGAGCGTGTAAATGATGTTCTGCTGGTGAATCATGGACATCAGTGACAGAGCATCAGTGTGGCCTGGAGCTTGAGGGGGGATCAGCAGCTGCCTCAGAGGCAACAGTCATGTAGTTATTGGTGTTTCTGTAGCAGTTTCACATGCACATATCCCATGAACAAGGTTCTAGACTGAGGCTGAGGCATGGGAGATAGGGGCTTGGGTCAGAAATCTTTGCAATTTCATTTTCTGTTTTAAGTCAGTGACTGTGAAATTGAATTTTGTGGTACTTGACACAAATATTTAAATGAACAGTGTCTGACCAGTGTGGATSTAAACAATTTCTTTTCCATATCCCCAACTCTTAGGCAGGATCTGCAGTGTTACTGGAAACCCAGAATATTCTATCTATATCAATAAAATCAGCCAGAACTATGTTGAAGCACAACTTCTGTTGATTTATCAAAAATAGCTTGGGATTTTATTTTGCATCTAACTTACATAATGGCTTGCCAGTACTCAGTTTGCAAATACTGAGGCATAGTTTTTGCATCTTCAATTCTAAAGAATGAAGAATTGTCTAAAGCATAGTGACCATATCTGGCTGTTTMGTTCTTYTTTTTKGTTTTGTTTTGTTTATTTTTACTGTGAATTGCCCTTGCAGTACTTTGRCCAGGAGATCCTTGTTTTATTATTTATCTGAATTTGTCTTCTGGTGGTCCAAACAGATCTTGTGCTGCTTTTGATGAACTTCTAAATAAATAAAAAAAAAACCCAGACCATAGTTCTTGAGATGTCAAGAGATATCTTGAATATTCCAGTAATTTTATGTGTAATTTTGCTTCTCTCTGTAAGAGCAACATTAGGCCCCCTGGCAGTTAAGTAATTGAGTCTATCACATCAGTGTAATCACAGTCTGYTTAGCTGAAGAGTTGTGTGTTTGCTGTGTTATTTTTTTGAAGGTAAGTTCCTTCACTATATTGTCCTACTGAACTAAGCCAACCTGTGCCTTTAGCAATTTGCCCCCTTTTTAGTGATCATTTAAAAAAAAAATTAATAAATATAAAAGATGCTTGACCAACAGATCCAGATAAATGCAGTGGTTGCTGTCAGGCTTAACTTGTTTAGGTCTTTGTCATGGCAGCTTCAATTCCTGCTTTTTAATTCTGAGGGAACTTCCAAGCAGTGATAAGTAGGTGAATGCTTGCCTGTAAATAGATGAATGTTGAAATTTCTTCTTTCTCACCACTGCTTCCTCCTCATAGCTGACGAGTAACACCAGTGTATTCCAGTATGACTTCAGAGTGGGCCTTTCTATCACGGCCAATATCAGTCTTAGCACAGCATTGTTACAGATACCACTGTCATTGCTCACATTTTTTTTTACTTTTTTTACATCCTGTTTCTGGCCCATCTAAGRTATATAGTCATTCACGTGATTACAGATTAAACCCCCAGGGCTTAATATTGAGTGTGAAGTGCATAAGAATGTTAATTTATAATGCAATTCTGCCTCTACACTATGCATTTCTAAACCAATTCTATTATCCTTTCTGAATAAAATTATTTCTGTTGGAGCCAATGTTGATTAAATTGAGTATGGCAGGTAACTGAAGAGCAGCACCAAATCCAACATTCATCTAAAAAAATAGCATTCATATATGATATATATYCTAAATCTAGATTACGTTTGGAAAGCAAACATATTGCAAAATGTGGTTCTTAATTGGCATCTCCTTCAGATTTGAACAAAAAGAGGAACTCAGATTCTATGTTTCTGTGGGGAGAGGGACTGGTGATTATGCTCTGGGATGCATCTGATGCAAAATCTGGAAGTGACACAGTTTATAAACAAACAATTGTGGGAGTTTTCTGCAGTGTTTTCACAGCCTGTCCWGTGTTTGGGCTAAAGGAAAATGAATTGTGTGTGCTTCAGGCTTTCTTGCTGAAGGCCAGTAAAAAGGATCCTTGCCAAGGATACTTGGTGTGATGGGCAAGTTAGGAAAAGTCTCAGTTCAATGACTGGAARTTAAAGGAGCTGATTATTACTATTTGCCTGCCTAAAAGGATGGTATTATAAAATATACCACTTACATCTTAATTTAATATTTAAAAAACCCAATAAATTCAGTATTACAGCCTTATCTGAAATACTGACCCACGAAGATAATGCAATGTGTAATTTTTTGACTTCTGCCTTCTCCATCCATCGAAGTTTAATTTGCCATTGCATTGACTGTTTTTGTGCCTTGTAATATCCAACACTTAACATCTGTAATATTTCTGCCTTTGATCAACTAGGGAAATTTTTTGATACATATTTTGACTTTACTCCTGATTTCTTGCAGAGGGGGCAAATKATTTAAATTGTGGATTGTATTGCAAAACATTGTGTGATAAAGAAAAATGGGAATAGCTTTTGCTTTTTGAGATTCTCTATTTGGTGAAGTGTGTTTTCCCATTTGAGTTGTGCCACTTGGTTGGAGCTGGTTCAAAAGCATGTACTCATTTTTCCAGCAAGGCTGGCATTTAATGCTGAAATCTGTCCTTAGCAAAGGGGTAATGAAATCAGGGCTAAAGGCTGGAGTTCTGCAGAAAATGCAAATATATTTGATACATCTTTTTTGTGATAAAAGTTGTACATGACAGTGTGAAGAGACTTCTGAGTTTTCTTTTCTGTGGCTGTCCAACGGTTTAATGTTCATCATTCYTCCAGCTAGCCGAGGATTGTTTGCCACTTGCTAGGAGGATGTGCTGACAGGTCTAGAGAAGGTCAAACACTTCAGGTGAAAATAAAAAATAAAGTCTTATTCTCTGATACAGGACTAAAATAGTTTTGTGCTTGSCAGACATGATTATCACAAATGTGTTTCCAAGTGTCGCCATATGAYTTCTGAGAAAACCTTCGTTAGGTAAAAGGCTTGAAGGAACCCTGAGCCCAGGC